ACCAATGGTTTACATCTTGTGGTGAACCCTCTGTATTCACTCTGGTAAAGTCTTCTCTTGATTGCGGACTTTGACACACATACACCTACCTCCTGGAGAGTGTTCTTGATCTGGCCAACTGTTCTGAAGGGTGTTTTCTTCACCAGGGAAAGAATTCTTCGGTCATCCACCACAGTTGTTTTCCGTGGTCTTCCGGGTCTTTTGGTGTTACTGAGCTCACCGGTGCGTTCCTTCTTTTTAAGCATGTTCCAAACAGTTGTTTTGGCCACGCCTAATGTTTTTGCTATCTCTCTGATGGGTTTGTTTTGTTTTTTCAGACTAATGATGGCTTGCTTCACTGATAGTGACAGCTCTTTGGATCTCATCTTGAGAGTTGACAGCAACAGATTCGAAATGCAAATAGCACACTTGAAATGAACTCTGGACCTTTTATCTGCTCATTGTAATTGGGATAATGAGGGAATAACACACACCTGGACATGGAACAGCTGAGAAGCCAATTGTCCCATTACTTTTGGTCCCTTAACAAGCCATACACATTGCAAACTGTTGTAATTCCTACACCGTTCACCTGATCTGGATGTAAATACCCTCAAATTAAAGCTGACAGTCTGCAGTTAAAGCACATCTTGTTCGTTTCATTTCAAATCCATTGTGGTGGTGTATAGAGCCAAAAATGTTAGAATTGTGTCAATGTCCCAATATTTATGGACCTGACTGTATCTTTAATAATAATAGTAATAACTGGAAAAAGCTGTGAAAGTATATTATAGTCACATGCCTTTATTGTGCAGAGTTGAATGTTAGTTCCTGTGTATGGCTACTCCTCATTATTTTACTGCTGAGAAGATCTTTATTAAAGAGTATCTAAGTATGTTACCTCAGATAGTACTTTTTTCGACCCCCCCCCAAAATAAAAATCACCATTTTTAGAAGTTTACATTAGTTTACTTGTGTGATCGTTTATCAAACAAATGCCATTGAGACAATGGACAATGCTGCCCTCTAATACAATGGAGATATACTATTATTGTAAATGGGCAAATGTAAATGATTGGATTGAGCAATCTACACATTTTCAGCGGTTCTCATTGTTTTTGAGGAGTTCTGGTCAAACTCTACACCCAGGCTCTGCCAATAAAAGTCAACAATAGCTTGATCTTTTGACATATTTGACCTATGGCATGTATGATATTACAGTGGAATTCAGAATTTGGCATTAGAAATGTTTTCTCTCATAGAAACTGATGTAAAAAGGAAGAGGTAAAAGGATATGCCCATTTGGGAATAGCTACACAAATGTTCTAAATAAAAGGCCAGCAGCATAAGCTGAAAGTGGGACTCCATGAGACCAAAGAAGATTGTTCCAGAGAGGACTACATCTGGGGATGACGTTAAATATTCACAATGAGAGAACCTGGTTTCCTGCAATCCCTTGAGTAGACTGGGGTCCTGCTTGCTTCAGAAATTGTGAATGCACTATGACACAAGCTAAGTGATTTTTTAGTGTGTTCCTATAGCATACCGATCATTGCAAAGTTTATTTGCTAGGAAGAATAAATAGCATGTGCATGTGTGTTGTATAAATATTTGTACTATTCTGTTTGCCTTTTATTGTTTTTCTACAATTGTAAGTAGTTTGTACTATATATGCAGCATTCTTGTTTAGTGAATGCACAATAATATACTGCAGGGTTTTTTTCCTTGCCTTAACTCTAAGTAGCCAAAAAGATGCAAGCCAAATGGTTGGAGGCTGATGGCTGGAATTTGTGCTAAAGTTCAATTGAACCAGACCTGTTTTCTGTAGTGTTTTCTGTTGCCAAGGATAAGAAAAATGCTGTGTAAACTGTGCAGGAAAAACAAGGCTACAGCAGGTTCTGCATGCTACCTGCCTGCTTTGGATAGAGACAGTCAGTGGATGCTTCTTGCTAAGAAATTTTCCCCTTGAAGAAGACTTGGGATCATAAAGTTTCAGATCATTTTCTAAACTTTATTATTGACACTTGTGATTTAAGCAGAGCAAAAAAGAAGGCAGTGTCTCTATTTGGCTGATACATCCTGCATGCTAACTATACTGAAATACAAAAGAGGGAGAAGGAAGAGGCAGAAATTAAGTACGATGTATTAAAAGACCATCTATCAGTTGCTTCGGAGTGTGTATATTCAACTGCTAGTCAGGCTGATGATCAGTGTGCAGCTATCATGACCAAATCAATAAATGCCTTAATCCCTTGACGCCGACATCACACAAATATGCGGCCTCACGGAACTGGGCTTTTTTCCGTGGGGCTGCATATTTGCGTATCTGTCTTTGTGCTGGGAGCGCGCCGCACTGCGCGCTTTTAGAAAAAGGACCACGGTGTCACTGAGAGCCCTGGGTCTCGTTCTAACGATCGGGACCTGGGACTCCCGATTCCGGGTCACATGATCGCTGTGCTAGCCTCTGATTCGCTATCACAGTGATCAGTCACTGTGCAGCCCGGCCCCCTTGATTTTTTTTCTCTCATGCATGGAGAAGAGAGATACATTGTATCTCTCTAACTCCTGGCATAGAGAGAAAAAAAAAATGTTTGTAAAAAAAAAAAAGAAAAAGATAAATAAATATTAAAACATAAAGAAAAAATACCTAGATCAAGGTTTGATCTAGTTCAGTGCCAGGGTTATTGTTTGAGTCAAGGTCAGGGTCAAAGGTCAAGGTCAGGATTAAAAGTATCAGTGTCAGTCAGTGTCAGTGTGTTTTAGGTAAAAAAAAAAAAAGACAAAAACAAAATGCACACTATTGTTTCTGGGCTGTACTATGGGTACAAACAACAAATAACATACACATATATGGTATCGCTGCAATCGTCACAAGCTGGAGAATTTACTTTGGGTTGTTCTTTGGTGGTAGGTTATGGTAGTAACAAGAAACACACAGCTCAATAAAAAAATATTTTTTTTTTACTGTTTTGGGCCAGTTTTCCTTTGATAATAAAAAAAAAATGAGGAGATATCCATTACCATTTACCACCAAATGAAAGCCCAATTTGTCCTGAAAAAAACAAGGTATAATTCACCTGGATGTATAAAGTAGTTGTGATGATATGTACGGTTTTACTAACACATGTCAACGTTGCAAAATTGTGCTTAGGCATTTATATTTGTTTTACCCTTAGGCGTGAAGGGGTTAAGGAAAAATAAGGGCTGTAAACCTGTTAGTAGGCTCAGAGTAGATGCCATTATCGCATACCACAACTGGAATTGTAAGGATGTGCTAACGAGGATGAGGATACAGAATTTGATATTTCTGATCATTCAGTGGGGAGAAAAAGTGTGCCAGATCTCTTATTACCAAGCAGAGAAAAAGGCAATGTGAGAGAGAGAACATGAGAGACAGAGAGGTGCATTATCACAACTCTAGAGAAGTGGAATTTGAGGAATTAAGGAAGTTTGCACAAACTGAACTCCATGAGCTGGCAAAACAGTACAGAGGTTCAGACACCCCTTTTTAATGTGGCTCCTATGTTTGTGGGATGAAGGCATGGGCAGTGTAATTTCATCAGACAAGGAAGCAGTAGCTATGAGAGTGTTAACCTACGATCCAAAATTTCACACAAGGTCATGCAAAGCCCAAGAGTTTACAGTGATTTTTTTTTACTATTAGACTATGAGAGATGGGATAGTCTGTGTTTACCCTAATCCTAGTGACCTGGAAAATACCTGCTTGTGGAGAACGATAAGAGAAGGTATTGCCAGTTTACATGAGATGGGTTGTATAACTAGAATCACTAAGATTCCAGAATGGGTCCGAATATGGAACCCCTTAGGTCTGCTCTGCACTTTAAGGTAATGAAGTCTTAATCTCAGAGCACCTTCATTGTCCTTGCTGGGGGGGCTGGATTTAAACAGCAAGGTCCATGAAGCTACTACCCTCTTACGCCAGTTGGGTGAGCTAGAGGAGACTAAAACAAATCTTGTTGAGACAGTAGATAAGGTCAAAATAGAACTATAGGCAAAACTTTTTTTTTAATTTTGGTTAGAGCAAAGGAGGGTTATAACCCATCCAATTTTTTTTTCTCCATCTGTATCTCATTGTGGAGATTTTCCTTCACTTCCTGTCTCATAGTCAAACAGGAAGTGAGAGGAAATCTCTGCAATTTAAGTGAATTCTTTGGGGACCCCCAGGTCACCAGAACTAGTGTCCCCATTGAAAGATTTCCCCTCTATTACTTTTCTTGGGACAACCTAAAATTTGGGATTGTCTTTACTTTCACTTTCAAAGAAAATGGTAAACAGGACAAATAGAGTGGGTAAATCTCCTGAAGGGGGACACATATAGCAATAAAAACTGACAGGGTTCTAATCCCTCTGCACTCTACCTAAAGCTAAAAGAAAAGTTTTGCCTTTAGTTATACTTTAAGGCTGAGGAAAAGAAATTTAGCAGAAAAGGACAGAGAAGAAAGGGAAGGCAGGAGAGAAGACAGGTGGTGCAGAGACAACCAGGCCAGTTATATCTAGGAAAATAATGTTGGTGGACCTTAACCTCCCTAGCGGTATGATTATTTCAGATTTTTGGTGCTGAAAGCAGTACCATTATTTTGCATGGAAATATGTAGTTTTTTTATTGTAGGCCTGTCATTTTTAGGAATAACTCACTGAAATCTGTCGGAGCAAGAGTCTAGTAAACATTCCGGATATGATAAAACTTGAAACACGAAATCATAAATTATAATTTAATAAATAATCATAAAAAAATAATAATATAATAATAATACATGTAATTCAATAATATAATCAAACCAAAAACACTGAAATTTGAAATATAGCGCCAAGTTCGCACATCGCTGAGCAAAGTCGCAAAATTATTTTCAGTGTCTGATGACGAATTTCCCCACGAATCATTTATCACTCAATTCTGCAAGTGGTTCTGATTTATTATCGCTGTTCTCTAGCCTATCTAAAACCGCTTTTGACATAAAGGGACACTTTTTGGACCCCATGGACGTTTCTCAGTTTCCAGGCAGAAAGAACAGTCAAAATGCAGGCAGGGCGCAGGACAAAGCACTAGGGACAAAATGTATGTGAAATGCTTTGAAACAGCAATGTTTTACTATGTAATGATCATTTTAAAAAAAATGAAATTTTTTAAAAATTTCAAATTTGCTGCCGGTTCTGGCGCCCGTAAGTCCCGACGTCACAGGGACCGGAACACGGAAGCCAGAGGAGATGGCCGGGGACGCTGCAGGGAACACATCGCGAGAGCGAAGGACAAGGTAAGCACTGCAGTGAATCCCTGAGAAACGCTGCATGGTAAGCCCGAGTGTAGCTCGGGGTTACCGCTTTTGGTACTGAAACTCTACCCCGAGCTACAATCGGGAATACTGCCAGGGAGGTTAAGCTGAGAAGCCGCAGTATATTAAAATTTTGTTTTTTTTTAACCCCTGCTTACCTGGATGCAGGCCCTGCACAATTAGGATATACAACCACCCAGCAGATTCAGCATTGTCCTGCAGAATCCTTTTCTGATCTGCCACTGCTCAAGTCCTGCACCACCATCTTGTATGACATCAGCAGGAGCTGCTGACTCTTCCGGGTTCAGCTGACAGGCTTCCCAATGATGTCCTGCTAGGCTTGCCCCCCACTTCTTTTGTCCATGAAGGACTTTGCCTCCTGGGATATGTGGCGTGCAAATCCCAGAAAGAACAGCGATCATAGTGCATGTCATTCACCTAGGTGAGTGCTGTACTTGGGGGGGGGGGGGGGGGGCAGACCAGAGGTCTTTTACCAAAAAACATAAATAAACAAAAAAAGCCCTATTTGTGTAGCATATGGGTGGAGAGGAGGGAAGTTCAATCTGAGAGTGAAGATGTGATTAAGATAAAAAAACTCACATGGTGTGACAGCATACTCCCCAACTTTGTAAGATGGGAAAGAGGGACACGTTATAGCATGAGGTATATAGGCAAATGACACACTCCTGCCATGCTGTGCAGTACCATAGGCCATGAAGATTAATGTCCAAAAAATGGTTGTTTTAGCCCATTTTATGTCACTACTTTTCCTTTATTTTGAGTTTTGTTTTCAAAACAACGGAGTGGAATTCCAGCCTACTCTGCTTAAAAATGTTCCCGCCCTCATCCACTACCTATCCTGCTTCATCTTTGTAGAAAAAGATGTACTTACCTTTTTAGTTCACTCTGGTCACATGATCCCCTGTGTCCACGGCTGCAGGGAGAGGAGGAAGTGCTCAACAATGGCTGGAAATTCCAAGAGTTGTGACATCACTCATAATCTCCAATGTCCCAGCCACTGTTGGCACTCCCTTCTCTCCCCTGCAGCCACTACTCACTGACACAGGGGAGCTGAAACACCAGGATCATGTGACTGGACTAAAAATAGGTCAGTAGGTAACTATGCAGATTTTTTTTACACAAGTCAGACAGGATAGGTAGCAGGTTGGGGGGGGGGCATTTTTAACCAGTTGACGCCTGGTCTATAGCCAGATGACGGCCGGGCGAATAGCTCGTCCCTCTGGGTGGATGCCATATGGCGTCCGTTCTGGAACACGCATTGCACATGCCCGCAGGGCCGCGCTGTGGCGCGATCTATCACCGGCCTTGTACCTCGGACACGGCCGATGACAGATCTGTGTACCGGCCCCGTTGCCAGTACCATGTGACCTGCTGTGACCAATCACAGAAGGTAACATGACAGTTGTATACAATGGATGGCTTCCTTTCATGCCATCCATTGTATACAAGTGTGTCTAGCTGTGAATGGTCACAGCGATCACATGCACAAGCTGGGACAATAACAGCCCAGCTGTGTCATGTGATTAGCCCTGACCAAATCACAGCTAATCACAAAAAAAAAAAAACCTGAATGAATTGATTTCATTCAGGTAAATGCTTGCTTATAGCAAAGTAATTCTTTGCTATAAGCAAATTGCGTAAAAAAACAAAAACTGATCACTTCCCCAAAGTAGTACAATGTTACTATGGTAACATTATACTACTTTGGACATAGTGAAATATGAAAAAGAAATCTTAAAAAAAAAAAAAAATTAATAAAAAATTTAAAATAAGAAAAAAAAAAAAATATATATATATATATATATTTTTTTTTTTTTTCGTACTGTCACCAGTCAGTGTCCCTGATCACCACCATGCCAGTTATATGATGATGCTGTACTGCACTGGTGACAGTATGTAAAAAAAAAATAGTGAAAATAATTTTTTTAATTTCTCCATTTTGTGAAAAATGACAAAAAAATGACAACTTCAAAAAACTCGCCATGCCTGTTATGAAATACATTGGACTGTCTACTTTGCAAAAAGGGGTCATTTGGGGGATATCTGTACTGTTCTGACCAGGGGCGGACTGACAACTCATGGGGCCCCCGGGCAATAGGGGATCATGGGGCCCCTGTGTCCTTGCCCAAACTCAAAAAAAGCCTATGAAAAAGGTACCAGGGGCATCTCATGGGGCCCCCTACTGACCCCGAGCCCTCGGGCAGTGCCCGAGTTTCCAAATCGTCAGTCCGCCCCTGGTTCTGACATTCCTAGACCTCAAGAAATTAGATTGGCAATCAGTACTTCAGGATTGATCAATTTTCAGATATATCCCATAGTTTGTGAACTCTATAACCTTCCTACAAACTAAATAATACATCCTAATTTGGGTTATTTTCACCAAAGACATGTAGCAGAATACATCTTGGCCTAAATTTATGAAGAACAATTATTTATTTGCAAACTTTTATAACAGAAACAAAGAAAAACATGTTTTTGTTTTCAACATTTTTTATCTTTTTTTGTTAATTTAGCAAAAAATAAAAACCCCAGTGGTGATTAAATACCACCAAAAGAAAAGTCTGGTTTTGTGGTGAAGAAAATTATAACATTTTAGTTTGAGTACAATGTTGTATGACCGGTCAATTGTCATTCAAAGTGTGAGAGTGCTGAAACCTGAAAATTTGGCCTTGGCAGGAAAGGGGTAAAAGTGCTGGTATGGAAGTGGTTAAGCATAGTTAGTGTGGAATTTCACTTTAAAGGCGAGATAAAAAAAAGATATAATATAAAAATTATACACACCTTTTCCCCCTTTTCATAAGTGATCACATACCCTCTGTTATCACCTGCACAGAAAGTTGAGGGTGGAGAAACATCAGCACATCCCCAGTGAAGGCTGTGTGTGGGGGGGGTGGGGGCTGTCAGCACAGCTAGTGGACTGACCATGCTCTGCTCTAATGCTTAGTGTGGTCAGCTTTTAATAGGAAAGCAGAGGGACTGGTAGGAAAAACAGGGATTTCACAAAAAGGAAGCAAAAGAGAGAAAAGAATACTTTTTCATACTAGTACATAGTACAGCAGTCACATATCAGGAATATGAAATGTTGGGTTGACATATTTAAATAAATTTTTTTTAGAGATCCTTAAATCAAGCCAAAAAGATGGACAACTGAGAAAGAAAGAGGGACAGAAGTTCCAAATGAAGGACATTTGAGAGGAAGACAGATTCAGACCAGCTATGACAGACTAAGGAAAGGAGAATGCTCTTCTATGTGTTACTGTCAAAGACATACGATCCCATAGACAATAGTATATACATTGAAAGGGCAACTTTAATTAAAATAATACTTGATAAGCCCGACAAAGTCCTTTGTTTAATCACCTCCTGGTATGGAGTGACAACACTCTGTCCCTGTTTTGTAATTATTCCGCAGTGCTGAGATGCAGAAACGGAAAAAAATTTTCAGAAGAATGAATTAGGGTTTTTTGGCAGAGGAGACTTGCAAAGTCAGTTTTGCTAAGAGACCGCTTCTTCTCGCTTGTAGCAGTTTTTTACTTCTTGTGTGCAATGTATGTCACATGATGCTGGTGCCGGGACAATGGAACTAACATGTGCAGAGGTTACATCATTGGAGGCCATCCAAAACAAAGACGTGGAACCGAAAATGAGCAGCGGAGAAGATTGCGGTTAAGGATAGTGCAGCAATTGACTGCCTAGATCAGTCACTGCTGGAGTAAAGCACACTTGTAATGTAAGTGTGCCATACAGTGCAAGTAAGCCATGCCTACATGCAGGTTATCCCATCCACCACCAAAGAATTTACTTCCACTTTAAGTAAAAAATGTGACCACCACATTGAAATAGCCTTTAGTTAGTCTGTACAGTGATAGTTAAAATGTGGAGGTGCTGAGAACACACTCTCACTTTATTGGCTTACCCCACCATTGGATCTAAATTTGTGTTTGGTCCAACTGCAGTTATTGAGCTTGTGTACAGTAAATAGGGGACATCTGACGCCAGACAAGCTTTTATAACATTCTCTGTCCCTGCAAAGAAAAGTAACAAAAATGAAGTATAGAGGATCTGCTTTCTTGGAGATCACTGTAACCTCCTATAAAGTGTATCCAAAACCAAACCTCTAGCATGTTTTTATTGCTGCCCATGGGGTCTGGGCGCAGAGGTGAGGAGGCAATTTAGCCGGTGGGATTCAACAATCATTTACCTATCCAGGTTGTGTTTTTTTCTTTTTATGCGTTTTAGTTGGACGTTTTTGCACATGGACTTTATGTCGTATTTACGATTTTTTTTTTAGTCACGTGTTATTTATTTCTTCATTCTGTTATTGTATTTTACGATGCACAGTAATACATTCATTTGGTTTCACTGTGCGTTTATATCACCATTTTCTGTTTTATACTAGTTGCACTCTATATATGTTTGCCACATTTATTTATGGTATTGATATGGTGACTTGTTAGTCATTTTATGTCACATGGCATTTTGATGCACATTGTGGTATGACTTCTTAGTCGCATGGTCACAGTTTTTGGCCTCACTGTGCGTTGTTATTGTCATTCTTCTGTGATAAGTGGTTTGTCCACTTTTAATATTAAGCACTTCATTTTGTATTTTTCACATTTTGCTCCACTTTCTCATCAGTTGTATTCACGTTATTTCATTTATGTTGTGACGGACTCATATGTCCCACTATTACTATGATTGAGTTATATTTTATTTCTCCCTGATCATTTCCATGCGTTTTGCCCACGGTCACGATTTATTGTCTGTTACACCTTTTGGTCCTCATTTTGGAGCTTTATTATTTCACCTTTCCCTTCACTCCCATATTCCTTCCATTTACTGATTATGTTATGGTGTATTATCTATTGTCTTCTCATCTCATTATTTGTTTTGGAATGTCTGTGGCATTATTGTGATTAGCACAACATCAATTTTCTGTTTGTTGTGGCAGTGACAATTATCTGAGGGCGCCTACACTGGAGATTTCTTCTCTCTCTTTTGAATCTACAGGACAGAAAGTCCCCAATTAGATATAAATGACA